CCCCCCCCAGTGCGCTTCTACTCAGGGCACAGCTGTCTGTGCCCAGGACTGCAGGTGCCTCAGGCTGACCCCACCCTCAAGCACGTGACCCCAGGGCTGCAGCGAGGGGTCCAGTGTCACAGCTCCACCTGGGAACCTGGTGCTGAGTGACATGCCGTCCCCCAGCCCCTGCACAATAGCTGCGGGAGCCTCTCCCCTCCACACCCGCTGCTGCTGCTGCCCAGTCTGCAGTCTCCCAGCCAAGGCCAGGCCTAGGTCCCCCAGCACAGCCAGACCCTGGTCAGGGAGCTGGTGTCAGGTTTAAAATAAAAGCTCCCTTCTTTGCTTGTCTTTCTTCCCTGCTCCCAAGGAGCCCCTGGGTGAGGGGGGATCCCTAAAGCTCAGTCTCTACTCTCAGCTCCTGACACTCAGCCCAGCTGGTCTTCCCCAAACAGAAAAGGAGCCAGAAAATCATTTTTTTCCTTTTAATTTCTCAGTGGCTTTGGCTGCAAACTGGCTAGTTTCTGGTAGCCTCTTGGGGGCCTTGGAGGCCCCTGGCTCTGTCTCAGTGCCCACCTCCGCAGGCAATAGTGGGGTCCGTGGACGTGGGCAGCTCTTCCTGGCGGGGCACCAGCCCATGGCAGACTGGGCCCACTGCAGACCCTCACCTCTCACGGGACCCTCTTCGCTGCTCATGCTGCATCTCGGGTCCACCTGGGCGCCAGGAGAAAATCTCCACTTCCCTACCCACCATGGACACCTCTGTTGCTACCCCACCCCTGCCCACCCTAGATGGGTCTGCAGGGCTTCCATCCTTACCCCTGGATCCCCGAACATCTGACTCCTAGTGCTTTCAACACATTGCCAAAAAACGGAAAGGATTTTGAGGCAGGCAGTGGGGAGTAAGGAGCTATTTAGATAAAGCCAAAATAGAATGTGGACCCACCCATTTCTTTGACCCTGAGTTCCAGAGACGCCAGAACAGGAGTTCGCACTTTACGGTCCCAGGTCAACTCTGATGCCAACACTTCTCAACTACTGTTGATTTAATTATCTTACTTTTGTTTACAAAAGTTCACGTACCTTTCATGCTTCACTATGAGAAGTTATGCTACATGCTGAGGTCTTGGATTTGAAATTCGTTGGAACTGGGGGCTTTCTTGAGAGTTTGTAAGCTGTGACCCCTGCCCAGTGGCCACGCCCTGTGCCTAAAGGTCTATCTATTCGAAAAACCCACACATCTGAAGACTATTAAATTATTTCATACTTACTACCCAATTTCTGAATTCTTAAATTTGTGTCTCCAGGGTTATGTGATATATGTGAGAAAACGACACAGAAAGGACAAGACGGCGCTTCTCCCACCTTTAGTGACTTCTCTGAAGCCCCCCCTTCCTCCCATCTATTCGTCAGACCCACAGCAGTCCAGCCGTACACATGCCCTTACAGCTGCAGCTCTGAGACGCACACAGCGTCAACACCGCTAGGAGAGCTGCCCAGAGGCAAGCGAGTCAGCGGGCCTATGGCTCTCAACTGCAATTTAAAACTTACTGACCACACGCACTGGCGTAAAGAACTGGGGCACCTTGGTGGCTCCAGCTGCCCCACCGGGCCTCCAGCCAGTGTGGAAACGATGTCCCCCTGTCCTCGCTCCTCTGCAAGAGGCCTGTCAACAGCTCCCACCATCACTCTGCGCTCAGGAAGCATCAGGACCTTTGAGAATGGGATGAAGAAGTGAGTCGCCCAGGGGCAGAATCATCAGAACATGTCCACTGCCTATTAATAAAAAATACGTAGCACCGGCTGGGTGGCTCGGTTGGTTGGAGAGTTGTCCCAAACACTGAAAGGTTGTGGGTTTGATCCCCAGTAGAGATGCAGACAGGAGACAACTGATTAATGTTTTTCTCTCTCTCTCTCCAAAAATCAATAAAAAAAATTTTTTCCTAAAAAAAAAAAAAAGCAGCCCATGAGGCACTAAGGCTATACAGGAGGGGGCACCTGGCAGGTGAGTGTCACATGCTGATGGAAGAAATGAAGACACATCCTGGGTGATCTCTAAGCCCCAAAGAACTCTGGTGGTCACAGGAAGAGACGGGTCACTGAGCCAGCCAACAGGAATGCAGACCGACAAAGTATATGCTCTAGAACAAACCAGGTGGCCCCACAGGCACTGAGGCTCCAGGTGCTCAGAGAGAACAGCAGAGCAGCCGCAAGCACAGGAACCAGCCCTCAGTGCCGGGCTGTGGCCCAGGAAAGGAGGCAGAGAATGGGGACATGGAATATCCACCAGGTTCCGGGCACTGTAGAGAAGCTTCTCATAACCCTAAATGCAAAAGCCTCAACCTGCCCGGGAGGTGGGTAATGTCACCCGTTTTCACAGGTAGAACAGAAGCTCAAAGCTCAGGGAACTGCCCCAGAGCCCACCACACGCTAGGTGGGCGCATGGACGTGAACCCGCCCTCCCTGGCCAGGCAGCTGCAGGGTGACTTCCATTCCTGGAGACAGCCCCCTCCTTGCCTCAGGCTGTGCGGTAAGGCCAGAGTCCCGATGTGGAGCCACAGCCCCAGCACGCGGGCCAGACTGCTAGAATGAGGGAACAACACAGCACACGGAAGTGGGTATGAACCTGTGAAACAGGAACATTCCATCTGCTGTAGCACTGAGAGCTGGCGTCCTGAAGTTCTAAGTAGGACAACCTGCGATTCAGACCCACCTTCCAGGGTGACCTGCTTGCAGCTTGAGCAGGCGCATATGTGGAGCACCACCCAGTGGCTAGGAGGGGGACCCTCCCCTCAGGGCAGAGAAGCCCGGTGAGATCCAGAGGCAGAGGGAGCCCCCCAAGATCCTCGCTCCTGAGGGAGAAGCAGGATGAAGGGAACCGGGTCTGAGCCATGAGGGGAAGCTGCTAACAGGCTTCAAAGCTGCCAACTCAGAGGTCACACCGCAGGATATAATTTGCCCCCACCCAGCTGACGGAAGGCAAAACGAACTCCCACCACGTGCTCCTGAGCAACTGGAAGGAGGAAGCAAGTGTCCTTCAGATACTGTCCCTGTAG